CAGAGGTAAGGACACTATCCCTGCCCATCCTGGGTAATAGCCATTGATGGACCTATCCTTCATGAGCTTATCTAGTGCTTTTTTGAATGGTCCCATATGGCATGTCCTATCTTATCATCATATAGAGCGGGCCCCCATCTCACATGATCATATCGGTCCCACTTCCCTTTTGCTGCCGCTCTTCCATTGCCAGACGACTGCAGTTGCATTGCTGTTTATTAACGGCAACGGGAAAGGTGCATACGTTTCAATAATGTAAGAAAGAAAACCGGGGTTCAGCTGGTAAATGTCATTTCAATACGATTTGTCCTTGTAAAGAACCTTGGTACGGGGGAGGTAAAAAGAACTTTTTGTTTCTTGTATGTCTGTGGCCTCCTGTGAATACATGTGTCTTAACCGTCCAAGTGTTCTTCTTTCATGGAAAATGAATAGTGGGTTTCGGAAAAGAAATCTTCCCCCTGGTATGCTTTGATACCTGAGTCAATAGGACCGACAAAGAAGCGAATTCCTGCTGGTGTGCCATTTTTTATGGCATTATTAGCAAATGTGATTTATAGATATACATGTAAACCCTTTTACCCAGAATTAAAGTAACTGAGGCAGAAGAAATAAATTGGACACTGGCAAACTTCATGGCAAGCTTATAAGGCAGGGAAGGCTGGGATTGCTTGGTTTTTGGGGGTGTAGACTAGTGATTAGGACGGGGGACTGGGAGTCCTCGGTATTCTTCTGGATCTGGGAGGGAGTATGGTCTAGTGTCAGAGCAGGGGCCTAGGAATCAACATTCCTAGGTTCTCTTCATAGTTTTGGTACAGTGGAGCAGTGGGTCAGTTGCTTGGCCTCACTGATATCTTGTGGCAATGAGTTCCACAGGTTAATGATGCTTTGTGTGGAAAAAAATAGTACTTCCTTTTGTCATTGTGTGTGGTAGGGCTGAAATTGTATTGGTGAAGTCCTTGGAGATTTTAGGATGAAAGAGCTGGAACTGTGTTTATCTCTGTACAGCACCTAGCACACGAGCCCCAATTCTGATCCAGGCCCTCAAGTCACTGCTGTAATACAATGTAATATTATTATTGCTGTTTTTCTTGCTCCCTGTAAAAAGAAGCAGAGGGAAAAGCAGAGGCACAAATTTCATCCCCATTTTCCCTACCAAAGCGTGACATTTCAAGGAAAAATTATAATCCTGAATGTTGAACTTTGAAAAATGTCCTGCGGTTGTTGCTGTCCACAGAAAGGAACAGTGCGGGGCTCCAAAACCCATCCAGGGAGCTGACACTTGGGCTGAAAAAGAAGCTGCTAAGAGCTTTTAAGGTTGATGGGGTGAGCAAGAACAGCTCAGTAGAAAAACGAAGAGCTTCCAACTTTGAAATCCTATTGCATGCAGCTTAGCCCCTCTCCCTGCTGAGACACGCTGTCTCGTTGGGGCTGGTTGTAATGCTAGACAGCTTGGTGCTTTGCCTTGCTGGGTCACTTCAGCCTCTTCCAAACAACGTCTGAAAAGATTTCTGCCGTTCAGATCTCTTTCCAGGGCCATTTAGCAGGCGAGATTCAGGGCTAGCGCTGAGCGTGGAGAGGAGAGGCAGGGTGGGCTTACGTCCCTGCTCTTCCACAAACTTCCTGTGTCACCTTGGTCAAGTCACTGGGCTGCCGCCGTTCCCCGTTATAAAATGGAGAGGAACGCATGGCCCTGCCTCACGGGAGTGTTGTGAGGATAAACACATGAAAGATTGTGAGATTGGGGACATCAAAATGCTGCCGATCGCCTTGTGCTCTGACTTCCCCGCGGCAGCATTCTGCCCGTGTGCTGCCGAAGGCAGGATCAGAGCCAATGAAGTGCAATTATCCCCTTTATACAGATCAAGGAACTGAGGCCCAGAATGACTTGCGGGGTGTGCCTGCATTGCAGTCAGGGGGTGTGATTGCCGCTCATGGAGACATACCTGGGCGAACTTTAGCTAGTTCGGGGAGCAGAGCCGTGGCACGTGGCAACTCAGGGGACCTCGCCACCGGAGTAATTACTCAGGGATCCTGGCACGTATGTCCATCGAGGCTGTGTCAGAGCTGGGAATACAACCCAAATTGCCTACAGCCTAGTGCTTCTCTCTCCCCGCCCCCCCAAATCCTTCCTCTCCATGTCATAGCTGATACCTGTCTCTTCACCGCACACTGGATCCCAGGTTTCCTAGAGTAGGAGGAATAGCTAGTTAGTGTTATGGTTTTGTAATTGGGAATGAGTTGAGTTTTACGCTTAAAGCTGGGATTCCCTTGCTTGGTGATGTGTGAAGAATGACAACACATCTGCCCTCACCCCCCCCCCCCCCGAATTGCAGTACTTGCTTTTTCTGAGGACAGAATCTTAAACAGAAGGATTTAAATAAACACAGACATCAAACCAGATTGATCAGAGCACTCCAAATCCAACTGGTGTTAATAAGAGTAAAACTCCAGGGCTGTCTTGGCTTCTTTTTAAAATGTTCTCTCTGATGCCCCTTCCGGACACCTTTCTGTGTCAGTTTGGTTTGGCTGTCCAGATACAGACATTTTTAAAAAAATGCAAAATTGAAGATTCAGGCAGAAAGCGGCGAAGAATTTAAATGACCCAGGCTAATGACCGGCCACTTGACTTCTTCTGACTTAAAAACCAAAAAACCAATCTCCCCCACGCTGCTTTTTCAGAGTGTCACAAAAGAACAGAAATTCACTGGTTTATTATGGCTGTCTTCTCCCACCCTCACATGTGTGCAAAAATGTTTCCTGTCTGTGCCCTGGATGGTTCTCTGCTGTCTCAACAGGCCTGTGGAACTTGTGGCTAAGATATGACCCTAGATTCACTTCCCTGCTCTGTCCCAGCCTTGCTGCGTAACCTGCAGCCAGGGTTTGAGTTGCTGAGCGCCTGTGATTCGGGGTATTTTCGAAAGTGCTTCAGCTCCCAGTTAGGTACTTAATAAAGGACAAATTTTCAAAAGGGCTTAGCACCTACTGTCCACTTCTACGCTGCTCCATTTGGTGCCTGATTGAGACCTGAGGTTTTCTGGAAAGCCGGCCATGAATCACTCTGCGCCCCTGTAAAATGGGGATAATACGCCCTGGTGTCAGTGGAATTTCCATTCGCTGTAAGGCTCCTTCGTGCCGCTCATCAGCGCACGTGCAACGGACCCAGTCATTTAACAGCGTCATCGTCAGCCAGGTGGTGAGCCGGGAGCCCGCCGTCGAAATGAGTCAGTGGGCCCTCGACGGTGATATGCAACAGAGTCTGAAATGAGCAGCATCACGGGTCATTCAAAAAACTCCCATTTCAAGAGATTGGGCGCACAGTTGCCCTGGCCTGCGGTTGCTGGAGAGGTATAAAGGGGCCTTAGGAGTGCCCCCCTCTCGCATTGTCGTCTGCCGTGTCTCGTTAGACTGTAAACTTTTTGGGGCAAGGATTGTGTATGTAGGGTTGCCAGGTGTCCAGTTTTCAACCGGAAAGTCCGGTCAAAAAGGGGACCTGGCAGTGTCCAGTCAGATGTACCGGCTGGACACGAAAAGTCCAGTTAGCATGGGCAGAGGTGGGGGAGATGCAGGATCATTAACCCTCACCAGCCCCTGCTCAGCCAGGGGTGCCTACCACCTGCATCTTTTGGGCAGGTAGGCAGCAGGCTCTGAGTCAGGCTGCAGCTCCCCTCCCAGCCCCGGAGTAGAGGGAGCCCAGCTGGGGTGGAGGGTAGGAAGTGGAAAGAATTGAGCAAGGGGGAAGGGGAGAGCAGTGAGTGATGGGTGGAGAGGGGATAGGAGCGAGCAGGGGGGTGGGGCCTCAAGGGAAGGAGTGGAGAAGGGGGCGGGGCCTTGGGGGGAGAGGCGGAGCAGGAGGGTCCGGTTTTCAGAAATTAGAAAGTTGGCAATCCCTGTATGTGTTTGTACAGCATCTGGTTCAGTGAGGCCCCCATCTCATCCCGACCCCTCGGCCTTGCACGCAATAAATAATTAAAAAGTAAGGAACCACTACAGGTGAATCTATGCCAAGTCTTCATTTGTCTGCAGGCTGCCTAGATTTTTAGACAATGATATAAGAAAGACCTTGGTTGGACAAACAGATCGGGTTTAATTGAGGCGGTCTGGAACCTGCTCTAGACACGGGTTGTGTCCTGGTATAACTGTTGGTTCGGGGGTGTGTGATTTTTTTTGTAATTGATATCGTAATATCAGTACAACCGCTAGTACAGCCTCACTTACACAGGTATAAATATATGCATCAATATAGCCTAGTCCCCTTCCTGTATGGAAATGACTATATCACCATAGGCTCCTTTATACCAGAATAGCTGCATCTACAGTAGAGTTTAAGCAGTGTTTAGGCAAGGCCTAGATTGACCTTTCACCCCCTGAGCCGTATAATTAAACTGAGTCCCCCCCTCCACCACCACCTCCGACTCCCCCAAGTGCAACAAGCTTGATAGAAAAATTCTTCCATTGACCTAGCTATTGCCTCTCGGAGACGTGGGCTCACTCCAGCAATGGAAATCCACCTTCCGTTGATGCAGGAAGCGTCTGCCCTATGGTGCTACGGCGCTAGCCGCGTCTGTCGTGTAGACATGAACTCAGACACAGTGGTGGTGGGCATGGTATAAACAGAGAGAGAGAGAGATTAGCTGCTTTATGTTACCAGAGTCGAGGTCAATAATCTTCATGCAGTTGGGTTTGTCCTGAGGATAGGAATTTTGCTCGGAGTCCTTTTTTCTTGGTGAATTTATTACGATTGCGAGCTCCTTGGGGCTGGGATGGTGTCTCACTGTGCGTTTTTGTGCAGCACCTAGCACTGTGGCATCTGGATACCACTGGGGCCTCTAGGTGCTCTCATAGTTTGGCTCAGGGACTTTTTGTGCTGTTTGTACCACCCCTAGCACAATGGGCCTGGTCTGTGACTGAACTCCTAGGGGCTATGGTAATAGGAAGAAGACTAATTAGGAAGGCTTTGCTTGAAAAAAATGTTTGAATTCCTTTTTTCCTCTCTTCCCTAGGTTTCCAAGCAGCCCCTGGAGGCCCAAAGCACCTGGAATTAACCGGACGGCAGCATAACATGAACTGAGCAAGAAGCAACCCGGATTTTTGTTTGTTTTTTGGTTTTAAAAACTTTTACATACCAAAACATTCTTTCATGAAAACGTTTTAAAACAGGGTTATTTTTCCCCTCCCCCGCACAAGAAAGTCGTCCCCGTACGGTGAGGATTTCCGGAGAAGATGGGGAGGAAAAAGATCCAGATTCAGCGGATCACGGATGAGCGAAATCGACAGGTCGGTAATTCCTGATTTGATACCTTTTGTAGGGCTGATCCTGCCCCTCCCCCCCAACCCCGACTGACGCTCAAAGACCAAACTCCCATTTCTTTGTGCCTCAGTTTCCCTGTCTGTAATATGAGGATAACGGTCTCCATTTTCCCAAGCGGTGAGCGATTTTGGCTGCCCAAGCTGAGACACCTTAAAGAGGCTGATTTTTCAGACAGCGCAGAGCATCTGTTCCCTGAAAATCTTCCTTCACAGTGTCTCAAGTCAGGTCAACCGGGATCACTAGTCGCTTTGGCAAATGTGGGCCAGTGCCCACCTTTATAAAGTGGTTTGAGATCAGCAGATGAAAAGAGCTCCAAGGAGGTAAGCCAGCCAGGTTTGCGCCGGGGGAGTTTGAGAGGTACACTCCCCAGCTCGGCGCAAAGCAGTGGCGTTACTAAATAGCGGTGCATTAATATGAAATCAGCGGCTAGAGGCTGCAGATGAGGTACTCCTCTTAGAGCTCAGCAAAGCCTTTCCATTGAAACATTTTATTCCAGATGGAAAATGCCCCCTTTTCCCCCATCCCTTGGGGGTTGTGACCTGGCCCAGTTGGGTTTAGCCTGGAGGCTCCTCCATCATGATAGAGGGGTCCAATTTCAGTGAGTGGTGTTGTGACCCAGCATGCGGGGTTTTAACCCCACTCAGGTTGGGGGGAGGGTGCCCGTTGGAGGGACTGTGGGGCCAAACCTGCGCATTGTTGCGACCCCGAACACCAGGTTGCAACGGTACGCAGTTTGGAGGGCAGCGCGAACTGCGGGGGCGGGGGGAGAACTGTCCCTTTTTGCCCCCACCCTCTGGGTAGCCCCATCAGCACTTTTCAGGATCGGGCCCATGGGGTGCATACGGCGTATCAGTCTATCCCCTCGCAGCTGCAAGATTTTGGGCATGAGTGTGAGACCCCTTTGGCTCTGCCTGGGTTTTATGGTGACCCTGGGCTTGGCTTGCCATGTGCCGGGTGACATTTGGACCAACGCACGGGGGATTGAGCTGCAGACCTCTCGACCTAAAAGCGTCGGCTGCTGCAGCCTGATCTGAAGTGCCAAGGGTCTGTAATTTGGAGCTGTAACACTATATTCCCTGTGGCTTGAGCACAGATTGGGGGTGAGGGCGTCGGGTTCTATAGTGATCTGCCCACAATCCAACACCAAAAGACTGCACTGTCTCTGCTCAAACCGATGGGCGAGGGGTTGTCAGTTTCCCTGAGTGTGGAGGGCATGGCCGAGATTACATGGGGGAAGAGAAACAATCTCCTAGGGGATGAGTGGGCACTAGCAGGAGGCTGGATCAGATAATGGGGATCAGATAATCAGCCGCCCCCCCCCCTCAAATAAGAGGAGCAGGTCTTATTTGTAATGAGCAGAACGAACCCTCATCTGCAACATGCCATGTTGATTGCTGTACTTGCCAGCGGCCCTGCAGTTCTGTAGCTGTTCTTCGAGTGGGCCACTATGGGGAAGTTGTGGGTACGGCTGCAACAGAATTCTCCTAGCCTTCAGGGAACACCCTCAAAGTTGTGAGGTCTTAAAATTAACCCACCGTGACAGATGCCCTATTGAGTAGTTATTTCCTTAAGGATTCAGGTGGGTTTGTTGTCTTGATGGCAATCCGTGGGGCGATGTTTGCTTTAAAAGAAATGCCTCCGAAGCACATGAAAAAAATAAATAAAAGCCCTGGTATGCATATTCTGTGTGACAAAAGCTCAGTGAGGGAGTGTGGGCTGGTGCATAGAGCTGGGGACAGGGGAGTCAGGACTCCTGGGTTCCATTTACCAGCTTTGGAGAAAGTTTGGTGTAGTGGTCAGGGCTGGGGAGTGGGAAGCAGGACTCCTGGGTTCTATTTCCCATTCCGAGAGGTTGCGTGGTCTAGTGGTCAGGGCTGGGGAATGAACGTTAGAATTCCCGGGTTCTGCTCCCGGGTTGTCTAGTGGTTAGAGCTGGGGGGACGAGCAGTCAGAATTTTGGGGGTCTATTTCCAGTTCTGGGAGGAAGTTTAGCTTAGTGGCTAGAACGGGGCGGAGTTGAGATCTAGGCTGCTGGGGCCAGATTTTCCAAAGATCCCAGCTCCCCAACTCCCGACAGGCAACTAGAGCGACTGAGCACTGTTGAAAATCTGGCTCCGTTTTCAGTGCCTGAATGGCGGCTGTTAATCGTGTCACGTAACGCACGACTGGAAGGTGCTTCGAGGCTACGGTGAAACGTACGGGATAAGGACCTCAATAGCTTAGAACAGAGAGAGGCTCTTTGGAAAAAAGGTCTGATGGCACCACCTCGGACTGAAAAATGTCAAGAGTTCGCCGATTGGAGAGACACACGAGGCGTAAAGGTGAAAGCAGTGTGCCGTGCACGATCACCTCCAGTTGCCATCACCTGCAGCCCTTGTGGATGGGGCTGCAGCCCAAAACTGGTCTCCAGTCTCATCTCTGGGCCCACAATCAGTGACTGTAGCTTCTCCGTCGAACTCGATGGGAGATTCCTCATCATTCCTCACCCAGCGCCAGGGCTTTTGCTGCTAAAAAAAAACCCATTAGCACTGCAGCAAGTTCCCTCCAGGAGCTTTATTGTTCCACGGTGAAACAATAGAAAATTGCAGGTTTTCTTCATTAAAGTTTCACTTGGGTGGGCAAAGGGGGGGGAGGGGAATATTTTTGAAAGTATCCCACTTGCTCAGGGCAGTGTTTATTTCCATAAGGAGCAGGAAATGGTGCATTAGTGATTATTAAAGGAGCTGGAGTTTTTTGGTTTTTGTTTTATTGGGGCAGCACAGCTCTCTGGCATGCCAGCGCGTTGCTGAATGCCGTACATGGGCGGGAGGTTATAACATATATAAAGCTGGTTATTGGAGCCCTGTTCAAAGTTAAAATGAATGGAAAATATTTAGTAATCCTGGAGTCCGAAAGCCTGCTCTAGTCCTGTTTTATAACCCTTTAGGAAAGGAAAGAGTGAATTCGCTGCCAGAGCCCAGGGTCCCAGTGAGCTGTAGGTTGGGGGCTGGGGGGTTTGACCGGTGGAGCTGTAATATGCTGTGTGAGTTCCTTTAGCCAGACTTTGGTGAGAAGATGGTTGGCACTGGAGGAAGGTCTTGCGATTAAAGCGCTGGAGTAGGATGTGGAAGGTTTGGGCTCGGTTCCCGGCTTTGTGTACCGACTCACCTTGGGCAAGACAGTTAATCCCTCTGTGCCTCAGTTTCCCAATCAGTACCGTTATTGTACTCGACTCTAATAGCTAATTGCCCCAGCTCATTTAGTAACAAAGGAACACCAGGGTGAGGTGGCCTGCTGCACAGCGCAATGGCCTGGGGTTTATGATCTGGGAGGGGTGTTCTATTCTCAGTTGTCCTCCTGGGTGAACTTGGGCAAGTCATTGCCCCTTTCTGTGCCTCAGTTTCCCCAGCTGTAAAATGGGGGTAGTCCATCCCTTGTCTGTCATCTTATACATAGATTGTAGGCTCTTCGGGGCGGGGAGTATCTCTGTTCTGTGTTTGTACAGGGCCTAACACCGGAGAATCTCGAGCCGGGACTCCCTCTTTGCTACCGTCGAATAAATAAATAACAATGAGGAGAGGTTGTAAAAATGAATGAGGAGGGGAGTGTTAGCTGTCAGACTCAGTTTCTCCTGCCTGTCACCTGAGTGAAGTGCTTTTCTCAGCTGAGCTTGTGAAGGTTGGGTGGGGAATAATAGAAGACAGCTGTGACAATCTGGTTCCCACAGGAGCTACTACTCAGGGTTGCCAATGGCTGCAATTTTATTGCACGTCTCACAATACCTGGTGCTTTTTTCGAAGACTCCAGCTCCTGGAATCAGGTGATCAGGCGAGACTATTAGCTTTCATCTTTTTTTTAAAAAGTACGTTTCTAACTCTCACGACTGCAGAGAACAACTTGGGAACGTGATCCAAAAGGCTCAGAAACCAGAAAGCCTAGAGAAAGCGCCCCGCCTTTTTTTTTTCTTTAAATCTCACGATTTTTAAGCCAGTCTCCCAATTTTGGGGGCCTGCCTCGAGGGTTCTGAATGGTTGGGTTTGGCAGTGCTGGCAACTGCGTGGCTCTGGGTGGGTGGGGGCCGGGCCTGCTCACTTCAACCACCAGGCTCTTCATTTAGAGGCGAAACTCACCCCCGCGCAGCCTCGGTTAAGCCTTGGGCTAGCTCTCTGTGCGGGGGGGGAGGGGAATAAACCCCTGGCCACCTGGGGCTTGGATTTCCAGGGGTCCTGAGCACAACAGCCCGCGATGAAATTGACAGCACTGCGGCTGTCCCCCGCGTGACTAAGAACCACATTGTCCGTATGCACTGGATCCACTACCATGCTGACCAATACCATGTCATTGTCTCCTTGTGTTCCCCTGTCTTCGGTATCCATCTGTTGTCTTGCACTTAGGGTACGTCTACATTGCAGCTGGGAGGTGTGATTCGCATAGACATACTGGCTTGAGCTAGTGCCTAAAAATTTGTCTGCGACGGGCACATACTTGGACGGCTACCCCGAGCTACTACCCGTGCTGAGACGGATATGCTAGCTCAAGCAGAGGGGGGGAACACCCCTCCCAGGTCAAAGGTAGATGTATGCTTAGATAAGGCAGGAACTGTCCGTTCTGTGCTTGCACAGCACCGAGCACCATAGGGGCTTGGTCCATGCTCCTAGGTGTTATGGTAATATAAGAGCAACTGAGATCATGGCCCCAGTGCGCTAGGCGCTGTACATACATACAGTGTGAGAGAACCCTGCCTCAAAGAGATCCCAGTCTGAATAGATAAAGAGGGGGAAATGAGACCCAGAGAGAAAGTGACTTACCCAAGAGATCAGTGCTGGTGCTAGTACCCGGGTTTCCAGAGTCTCCGCTCTGGGACCAGTCCGCCATGTTACGCCTCACTCCCTGTAGTACCTCTCTCCTCCACCTTTCTTCCTGCTTTGCCACAGTGCCACCGGCAGGAGAGATGCAGGGAGCTTGGGAGCCAGCGTGAGGACAAAAA